TTGTTCAATCATGTTCTTCCCAGGGAATTGCATTTTCCTATTAATATATAGTGAAATTCTTTGTTTAATTTTAATATTTTAAACTTGGTTATGTAGAAAGTTATCGTAAAATAGTTTCTATTATTTTTATTGTTATGTATTCTTTTTAATTTTTACTAATCAATTCTAATATTTATGTCGTGATGTAGAAAAAAATAAAAATAAATTAATATCGCAAAAAATGAAGAAGCAAAGAAAGAATACAATGTTTATATTTTTTCTAAAAAAAAACTTATTATAGTTTTGAGTATTATATTATGATTTTTTTTTAAAAAAAAGTGTATATTATGTCAGATTTTAAAAGTTTTTACTTGAAAAATATTAGAATAAATTTGTAGAACAAAAATAATGATATGTTTTAATATTAAAAAATTAATTTAATTTTAAATTTTGTATTTTCATTATGTATGAATCAGTTGAGTTAAGAGAAAAGAGAAGAAAAAAATAGAAAAATAGAAAGAAAGATAAAAGAGGAAAAAGAAAAAAAAGACAAATAAATGATGGAGAACAATCGGTATGATATATTTTGTTTGTTTGTTTTTTAAATTAATTAATTATAATTAATATTATAAATATATTTTTTTAATTATCTAATGCGATAATTTATTATCTAGTCATAAAAATTTTTCATTCTTATATATGCGTTTTTTGTTAATTGATTTGATTCCGAGTATTATATTCTAATATATTTTATATTTTAATTTTGTAGATTATATTCAAATTTTAACTCTTTTAATTCGAAAGAATATTTTTATAATCCATATGGAAAAATTATACTTCCCCCGTCCCACATAATTTGTTCCTATTTTCTATTTTCGTCCGTCCCACATAACTTGTCTTTTCTATTTTTGAAAATATAAATATGTACTTTAATCGCATTTTAAATTTTAAATTAAATTTTATAATTTTTTTAATTTTAATTAAACTATTTAGTTACTTAATCTTAATCTATAATTATTTTTACTAAATAATAATTATTTTTACTAATACACTTCTTAATTACTTACTAATTATATTTTACCTAAATTCTCGTGTCTACAGTAATACACCCATATTACATGGACGAAGGGAATAGTATATTTTAATATATAAAAAAATATTTTTTTATTCTTTTTATTCTCACTGTGTGTGTATTTTTTAATATTTATTATATTCTTTTTTTATTTCATTAATTATTTTTTTAATTCTTATTTTATACTACCTTCGTCCGGCTTTAAGGGTTTCATTTATTTTTTGTGTATTAATTTTTTAATATTAATTATTATATCAAAGTGTAGTACAAATTAAAAAAAAAAATGCAAAAATACTTGCATTAGTGTCTTATAATACTAATAGAATGACATTTGTACAAAAAGTTATCCAAATATAAAGATATTTTTAATGTTAAGTACAATGACGGAAAAAGTAAATGTGACTTTTAAAGACCAACAGAGGGAGTATATGTTTTTTATTAATTGATTTGGTTCTGAATATTATTGTTGATGCAATTTTTCAACAATAAAAAGTAAAATCCGAAAATAAAATTATCTTCGAATTTGATAAAATAAATGCCTGAGATTAAGAATCTCTAGACACCATACGATACATAAATAAACTAGAAAAATAAAAACTACAGACTGAGAAAGTAAATGGTGATCCCCAAAAGCAATTCACTTGAATTTGATGTCGATTGAAGATCTTTTTTTAGAACAAACCCGAATCCTTAAATAACTCCTTAAAGAAACGGTTTGAACCGTGGTCGGTTACAGCAACCGCTGTCAACCGCCCACAAGGTCCTCCTTTGTCGACACGTGTGTTAACCGACTCACCAACCGCTCGCGCCAGTTACAACACTCAACTGGCTCGGCCGACCGCCTCTGAACACCTTACCGCCTTAAATGGGCGGCTGGCCCGACCGGCTACTCAGCCGTCCAAAATAACCCTTGACTCCTTAGACGGACCGTAGGGCAACCGACCAATCCAGATACTAATTGGTCGCTTAGACCAAACGACTCATTGGTCACCCAACCAAGCGACCACCATCTGGTCCCTTCAATCGGCTCAAAAACTATTCGTCCAGACGATTCATTGGTCGCCTAAGCAAGCGACCACCACCTAGTCCCTTCACTCGGCTGAACAACCATTCGTTCAGACGATTCATTGGTCGTCCAATCAAGCGACCACCATCTGGCCCCTTCAATCGGCTGAAAAACTATTCGTCCAGACGATTAATTGGTCGCCCAAGCAAGCGACCAACTGACCGCCATTTCAAGCGACTGAACTACTGTTTGATCAAGTGACCGGAAAATCAATCAAGCAATTAACAAGAGGCCTGTTAAGTGACCAACCAACAAATCCTTAATTCGCCCGATCAATTAACAGACCTTTCCTTTCGTCCGACCTCTTTTTGACCGACCTTCGCATCGGCCGTCTCATCCTTCTTTGCCCGACTTCCTCTTTCGACCGACCTCCGTATTGGCCGTCTTATCCTTCTTCTTTGCCCGACCTTATCCTGTCCGACCTCCGTATCTGCCGATACTTCTTCTTTGCCCAACCTTATCCTGTCCGACCTCCGTGTCTGTCGATACTTCTTCTTTGACCGACCTTATCCTGTCCGACCTCCGTGTCTGCCGTTACTTCTTCTTTGCCCGACCTTATCTTGTCCGACCTCCGTGTCTGCCGATACTTCTTCTTTGCCCGACTTTATCTTGTCCGATCTCCGTGCCCGACCTTATTTTGTCCGACCTCCGTGCCCGACCTTATCTTGTCCGACCTCCATGCCCGACCTTATCTTGTCCGACCTCCGTGTTTGACCTTTATCTTGTCCAACCTCCGTGCTCGACCTTATCTTGTACGACCTCTGTGTCTGTCATCCCATCTTTCTTTGCCCGACTTCATCTTTTGCCCGACTTTTGGGCCATTTGGCTTATATTCAGACCCATTCAGAATCCTACTGTCATTATTATTATTATTATTATTTGTGCTCAACAATTATATTCTAATATACTAATTTTAATTTTTTTTTTAGATTATGTCTTAATTTTAAATATTTTGATTTGTAAAAAAAAGTTTAAGAAATCTATACAAAATTTTATATTTAATGTATAAAAAGTTTGTTTTTATTTTAGTAATTTCATTCTTTATGTATTTTATTTTTTGATAGATTTAGTTTTAAATATTATATTCTAATATTCTTTATCGGTGAAAAATATGTTCACTTCATATGTTTTTCATAGACAGATGAAGCAATTTTATTTTTTTTTAACTTTGTAGGGTATATTCAAATTTTGAATCTTTGAGTTTAAAAGAATATTTGAGGAATTCATAGATAAAATTATAATAATTAAAATTTATTTTTCTTTTAGTAAATTTTTGTTTTAAATTTTCTATTGTATTATTTTTATTTTCTACTAATTAATTTTTATGTATTTTTAATTGATTTATTTTTTAGCATTATATTCTTTTTTTTTTATTTCATACATTACATTTAAATTTTGAATATTTTAATTTGAAAAAGTATTTAAAAAATTCATATCGAAAATTATAATAAATTTTAATATATAGAAACTTTCTTTTTATTTTATTACATTCATTTTTATTATGTATGTTTTTTTAAATTATTTATTGTATTTTTTTTTTTTACTAATCAATTTTTCATTCTTATTGTTCATGTATTTTTCAAATTGATTTGATTTTGATAATATTAATACACTTTTCAAATTTGTTGATTATGTTTCAATTTCGAGTATGTTGATTTGAAAGAATAATTAAAATTTAAAAATTATGATAAATTTAATATATAAAGATTTTATTTTTATTATAGTAGTTTCATTCTTATTTTAAAAGTATTTTATTAACTATCTATTTTGTTATTCTCATTTTTTTTACAAATTAATTTTTTTTATTGGTTATGTTATTTTTTAAATTGATTTGATTCGAATAATATATTTTATATACAAAAAAATTATAAGTATTATTTATAATTAATATTAAATTAGTATATAAATCAATATCAAAATAACTTGTGCGTAACACGAGTTACATAATTAATCGATTAATTTAGTTTACCAATCAGTCGCATTTTCACTTATAATTAATTGGTTCTGTAAATTTTAAATTTAATTTTTTAAAATTAAGTTTCATTTATTAAATATTTAATTGATTATACAACATGTAAATAAAGTCTTAAATATACTTGCGATTAAATATTATTGTCGCTGAAATTCGTCGATGACGGCCCAAATGGTTTAGGCCAGTCGAAATCGACAATAATCGGATTCCCCGGCCTACTCAAGAAAGTATCCGGGCTAAGTTTTGTGCAAAAATAAATTAGTATAAAAATTTGCAGGAATTGAGATGTTGGATCGAAGATGAAAAATTAAGGAAATTCCCTCAAAAAATGAATCAAATTGAATACTCGACAAGAATTTAGGAACAAGAAAATCAAATAGGAAAGCAATGATAATGCATGAATAAAAAGTGGAAAAAAAGGAGTTGAATTTGCTGTTGTAGATGGGATGAATTTTTCTGCTCCTCAAATTCCTCCTTTTTAAATTATCCCTTCATTGCTCCAAAGTCACTATCCTTGAATTTAGGAATTACTTCATCCACTTGTCTCATAACTTCTTATCCGGATGTGTGCGGTTGATCAATTCTTGCTCAAATTATTAAGCCCAGTCTTATGCCCTGGTTGAACTGGGCGGCTCTTCCCTTGGGCCTGCTTAGGCGGCCGGTTGAGCTCTTTTGGGCCTGCCTAATATTAGACGGTTGAATTTTTTAGTGGGCTTCCAATATGAGATAAAAATTGTTTTTTTGTAAAATAACAAATGCACCCTCCTCCCAAAAAAAAATATTTTAGACAAAAATGTATTTTGTATTATAATTTCATTGAGGTGCGAATCTTCCATGTCTTCTTACGCGCGCCCCAATGTGGTTTGAACTGCACTTAAGCAACTATCACTTCAGAATTCTCCCTCTGCTCTGGTTCTGAAAAACTTCTTCATCACTCTTCTTCTTATGTTCTCCCCAAATGCATTACTCCCTTCAAACACCTTTAACCCTAAGTCATTCGACTCCCACCTGCTGCCGACCGCCCGTTCTGAAACCGACGCCACCGCTCTTCGTTTGTGTAATGGTGGGTACCGGATCCTCAAAATTGCGTGTCATCGAGAGTCCCTCCGAAGTTCCATCTCGTCCGCCGTCTGCCACGAAGGTGAAGGAGAAGCCGTCGTCTGCTGCTCGGCCCGCCGGTACATCGGCAGTGCCTCCATCTGGGCTCACGAAGATTTACGGGCATTGGGCTTTTCGCCTCAACTCCGAATATGAGGATTTTTTCAGCGTCGTTCTGGCCAAAGTCTTCGGCCGAGGTAACCTTTCCCTTACTCAACCTTAGTTAAATTTTTCCCATATCCCTTCCCGACTAACACGATTCACTACAAAAAAATAATATATTTGTAACGGAATTTCGTTCCTAAAATTCACGTAGCTAACGTAATTTCATTCCTATTTCTGTCTCTAATGTCATTAGTAACGGAAAAAGTAGATTTAGAGATAAAAAAATGTTGTTACAAAAATAATTTTTTCTTGTAGTGATTATTGAGTCCAGAAGATTTTGAATCTTGGGGTTCCTGGGTTGATAGGCTAGACCCTGTTTTTGGCGATATGTGGGATTCTTGGGGCATTAGGGATATGTTATTGTTGAGTAAGGCGATCCCTTCCCATAGTAGTGAGTTAGAGAAAGCTTTGCTTGGGTTTTGGATCTCACATATTCTTAAGAAAAGAATAAAATATAATTTTTTAAATAATTTAATACTAAAATAAATATGCGTCAAAGTACCCAAAAATTATAGTTCTAAAAATAAGAACAATCAAAGATTGACAATAGTCCGCAATGATGGCGATCAGCAATAGTCCCGATTATAAAAAGAATTGTAGAAGAAACAAATGCAAAGACAAATTTGATTTAGAATTAAGGTTCTATTTATGTTTAAATATTTTTAAATAAATAAATAATATAATTTAGATTGTATAAAATATAAATAAATTACAATAATTGTTAAAATATCTGGGTTTGGGTCAGGGGAGGGGCGTGTTTTTAATAAACCCCGTAACCTGCCCCATACCCAGCCGAATCTTAAACTCAAAATCCACAACCTGCCTTGAACAAAATTTTTTAGACTCAAACCCGCCCCATTAAAACCGGGTCGTCCCATTTGACATCCCTAGGCCGAACTTGCTATTGATGCCATTGTTTTTGGTGCTCTATTTGATCTTGCGTCGTATGTCATGAGCTTCCTATACCGTGGTATAAATGACCTCCTTGCAAAATTAGCTAATTCATTTGCCCGTGATATCCAAGGCATCAGTCCTCTCTGGTTCTTGGAATTTTGGGCTCGGCTTTACTTTCCGCAATTTTCTAATACTTCCTTTGATATCACTCGTATTCCGAGGGGCTCTTGCCTTGGCTTTGCGTTATCCGGTTTTCCTCTCTTAAAGGGGAATCTTCCTAGGTGTATATCTGCTCTCCTTCGTGAAACCTCTCTTCCTTCTGCTGAATTTTTTCCGTTGTCAACACATGTTTGTGGGCCATCTTGGTTCACCTTAGCTGCCAGAGATCACGATTCTTCTCCTGATGTCGTCAGCTTTCTGAGTTATTGGGGAAAATGTGCCTCAACCCGGATTATATTCAGTGGACTAAGTTTAGGTTCTCGGTTTAATTCATTGGTCGGGGAGGTATATCAACCTCAGTTCTGAGCGCGGAAATTAAGACTGATGCAGAAGATTCCTGCCATCGGTTTCTTGTTATCTTTGTCGTATGATTTATCCGGGGGAGTGAAAAAGGTTGAACCTGCAGCATGGCACTCATATGCTTATAGATCCAGTTCGCCCATCCCGTCACTCTACCCATTTGACCCTCGGGCGACGACAACCTATAACGGGTGGTGGAGTGTAATACAAGAGGTGATCGATTTTAATACCATACAAGGCTCTATTGTTAACCTTACTGGTGATAGTTCCGAGAGTAGAACAACTTCTGATCCGGTACCCACGCAATCGGAGTCGGTTTAAGGGCCGTCTGTTTTGGGTAAGTTTCTGATTTTACCAGGGTGCTTGATTCGCATAATGTATCTTATGTGTTTGTTTTTGCATTTTCCAGCTATGGCCTCAAAATCAAAAAAAGGCCCGAAATCTCCTGCTGCTTTCGTTGTTTTCACGTTTGGTACATGGAAATCTGCTCGATTTTCCATCCAGTTTGCTATTCCAAATTCATAGTCTGCAGAGCAGAAGAAAAAATGTCCGGCTTCCCCGACATCATCCGATCAGGTAGTCTTGATGGTTTGCTTTATAAAGCTTTTTGAGTCCAACCTAATGTTGCATTGATTGTGGCAAGTTCCATTAAAAAAGGCTGTGGTACATTCGTCTCCTAAGATTTCTACGCGGTCTCCGGTTTCCACAGCTGCCTTGCTACCGTCAGTGCCCGTCATAGATTTGACGACTCGAGATGTTGTTGTTAATCTGACTCCTCAGTTGGGGGTCTCACCATTGCACTCAGTTTCCTTGGCTGTCCTAATGGATCTAGAATAATACTTCACCCAAGGTTCGCCTAGCCCTTCACCTCGATCCCCATCGCGGAGAATGTCTGTGGCACTGGGTAAGACTCTGCTGAGCAAGTATTCTTCGTCTCCGCTTGACAATCCAGGATAGGCTAGGCGAAGTGGCTGATCGTCTTCAGTCTGGAAAAGCCCTCAACAAAGTCACAGAAGAAAAGTTAGAAGAGCTGGCTTCGTTGGAAGAGCGATGGAAGACCTACACTGAGTCTTATGAGGAAGAGAGATGCAAGACATAAGAGGAAAAAACCTACATTGACAGCCTTCAAGAGGAACAGGTTGTCCTCAAAGCTGAAATGGAACGAATTCAAGCGCGAATGAAGAAGATCTCTCCAGAGATTTAGAGGACGTCTGACAACCTGATTATAAAGGTTGCTCACCGCCTTGAGTTGTATGTTCTAACGCGGGCTGTCGATGGTCCTTTGCTAGCATTGGCTGGGTGTCGGGCGATGTTTCAGTAGAATTTCAGTCTGGCGGAGTGGAGCCTAACTGAACTCAGGCAGTCCTGGGTTGACATTGTAACTGGCTAGACCGCTCTTCGCCCCATGAGTTCGGAGGCTACCGACTTCCGAGAGTTGTCAGAGTAAGCTACCTTCTGGTTTGGTAGTCTCGCCCTCTCGCGACTCTCTGAAGCCTACAATTGTTGGGGCATCGTCAGTCGGGGATAGCTCATTGCTTGATATCCAAGTAGCTCAGGATGATGATTGATATAGTGTGGCAGCTTTTCCTTGTTTTGTTTTGATGACTGATATCTCACCGCCGTAATATCTTTTGAACTAGTCTTTTGTAGGTGAAACTTGACATGCATCAGCACTTGTTCTTATTTTGTTTGAATGTTTTCCTTATACTCTGTATGCATGTCTTTCTTCATAAATGGCAAATGTAAGTCTGCTCCGTCTTTTTGAAATCCCACAGGGAAGGGTCGAAATGTTTCAAAAGTCTTCCGTTGATAAACACTTTTGATTTGTCGCAGTCGGGATTCATTAATCTATATACTCCGTGGGATGACTTTGCTGTGATAATGTAAGGGCTTGTCCAATTAGGTGACCACTTACCCAGTTGTGGATCCTTGGGACCTTTCAGAAGTATAGTTTTCCAAACCAAGTCTCCCTCTTGGAAAGACCATGGCCGAACCTGTCGTTGGAATATTCGTTCGGCCTTCTTCTTTTGAAGCCGGAGGTGTTTGAGGGCCTGAAGGCGCTCCTCCGTCAAGTCGTTCAGCTCTTGCAGCAATGTCCAATCCTGCTCGTCCATTGGTACTTCACTCTGTTTCAAGATCCTAAGAGAAGGTGCCGTGATCTCAAAGGGTAGGATTACGTCTTGTCCGTATGTCAGTCTATAGGGTGTGCTTCCAGTCGCGGTGGACTTTCCGTTTCGATAAACCCACAGGGCTTCCTCTAAAGTATTGTTCCAATCTCTCGGATTACCTTCCAACACCTTTTTTTGTGATTACAATTAACATTTTATTAATAGCCTCGGCTTGCCCGTTGGCTTGCGGATAATACGGAGAATAAGTGTAGCAATCGGATGTCGTACTGTGCTACAAAGGCCTTGAGCTTCGTACTAATGAACACCGTCCCTTGGTCGGTTGTGATGGTCCTTGGTATATCAAATCAATGAATTATATTATTCTTGATGAAACAGATAACATGATTCAGCCATACTTGGGCCAACAGGACAGCTTCTACCCACTTTGTGAAATAATCGGTAGCCACGAGGATAAATGTGTGCCCTTTTTATGAAGGCGGGTGGATTTTTCCAATGACATCCATCGTCCATCGCCTGAAAAGGCCACTGTTTGAGAATCGAATGAAGTTCATCGACCGGGGCGTGTCACAAGGGCCTTGGCGTTGGCATGAAGGACATCCCCGAGCATAATCGATACAATCCTGGGAGATCCGGGGCCAGAAGTATCTATATCAAATGATGGTCCACCTCATGATAGAGCCAGCCCTATGTGCTCCTCCAATGCCCTCTTATACCTGCACCATTATCTTCATGGCATTATCTTGCCCCAAGAACCGTGCCAAAGTTCTATCGGCCCGACAACGATAGGGTAAACCGTTGATACAAGTGTATCTTAGGAGTGCATCAGCACCGGTGGCGATATAAGGGCTTGCTTGATCTGCTCCAAAGCGGTCTATTGTGTTAAACCCCCATTAAAAAATCTCTCGACTTCCACGTAGCAACACAAATAATGCTTTCATTTTCCCAGCGGCGTTAGCAATGAATCCCCGCAAAAAATTAATCTTGCCCATTAAGCTCTGCAATTCCTTAGGGTTGCGTGGGGGCCCAAATTCTTGGATTGCCTTTGTCTTATTATAATCGACTTCAATCCCCTTCTGATGGACGAGAAAGCCTAGGAAATTTCCTGCTGGACGCCAAATGCGCACTTCATCGGGTTCATTTTAAGGTCGTGCTGCCTCATCTAGGTAAAGGCTTTCGGAGGTTAGTGAGATGGTGGTCGAATGCTCTGGACTTGACAACAACTTCGTCGATGTATACTTCTATGCACTCACTGATTAAATCGTGGAAGATCGCGTTCATGGCCCTTTGATAGGTTGCTCCGGCGTTCTTCAATCCGAAGGGTATTACAATCCACTTGAATATTCTGATCACCCCAGACATCGGTACGTTGTTTTGCGGGCATCCTCCATGGCTAAGTATATTTGATTGTAGCCCGAGTACCCATTCATAAAGGACAAGATCTCATACCCCATAGTTAAGTCGATGAGCATGTCGGCGATCAGAATGACGTACTCATCTTTGGGTGTCGCCAAGTTAAGGTTGTAAAAATCGATACACACCTGGATCTTCCATTTTTCTTCACCACGGGTACGATGCTAGATATCCATTCTAGGTATCGGCAGGTACGAATGAAATTCGCCTGAAGCAACTTTTCCACCTCTTCTTTGACCTTTGGCATCAACTCCGGGTTGAACCGCCGTGGGGGCTGTTTATTAGGTTTAAACAATGGCTTGGTTGGCAGCCGATGTTCAACAAAATTTATGGATAGACCCGGCATCTCATGGTAGTCCCGTATGAAACAGTCTAGGTATTCTCATATTAAATTCGTAAGTCACTATTTCTGGTCCGGAGGCAGCAAAGAACTAATTACGGTCATCGGAGGCACTGTACCGTCGCCGAGATTGATTTTCTCAAGAGGATCCTGCGCTTCGAATGATGGGGTAGCCCTCTGGAAAAGCGAGGGGAAATCTTCGTTTTGGTCCTCCGGATGAGGTGATAACTCTTGATTGTATCATATTTTATAGCTTATATTTACTTGATTAATTATTTATTTATGTCGAGTTTTGGTATTGTATATATTAATTTATTCTAATAATTATATTTATTTCATCTTGTGTGTAAAATATTAATGTATTAGTTTTTAGGTGTAATTTATAATTATTTTGGTATATAAATTAAATTAATTTATGTGTTTTTTGAATTATATTTAGGCATTATTTATGTGTTATTTAAGTATTTAATTTTGGCTAAATTAATTTTATATAATAAGTATTATTTATTTAAATAAATATTTATAATGTGTTTATTATTTATACATGTGAAATAATGCTTGGAAACTGGTATGGGAGTCCAAAACTAGCATTAAAAAGTGAAAAATGACTTCGGGAGCGAAAAAGAGCCGTTGAAGCGAAAGTCAAAAAATTCAACGGTCAACGCGGAAAAATCAACACGCAAAAGTCAAAGTCAACTGCTAGCACGAAATCTAAGCGGCGGCTGGCGTGGAAACTGTGAGCGGAGCGAAAATCTCTGCATGGAGGTAAGCGAAGCGATGGCTGTGCGAAAGATAAGCGGCGGCTACACGGAAAGCGAGTGGCGGCTGCACGGAAATTTGAGCAAAGCGGAATGTTATGTCCATTAATCTGTGAGCGGCGGTTGCATTTATGAGCGCGGAAGGCCATGCATGAAAGTGAGCGAAGCGACGGCTGGCGCGGAAAGCGAGTGTCGGCTGCACGAAATCCATGAGCGGCGTAATCTAGTGCATTAGGATAATTTTCAGATAAGTAATGTTAGAATTAAATAATTAGCTTAGTTGTTGTATGTTAAGAGCTGCAATTTTGGTTGTACATCAGATTAGCTTTAATCGTGCTTCTCCTCCTTTAGTTTAGAAGTTAGTTGTAGCCTAGTCTAATGCATAATAAATAGAGTATGATGTTCTTGGTTAGATTAGCTTGTTGTATATTAGATTAGATTAATATTATGTTGTGTACTATGTATTTTAGTTAGTTAATCTGCCGTTGTTTTTAGCCTTTGATAAAATGCTGCTGATTAGGTAGGATTACAATTAGATCGGTTTGCAGTCAAAGTTTTGTTTGGGTGTTCTTCTTAATTGTTAACTAGCTTTGTAGTGTTAAATAACTAACTTAATTTAACTGCTTCTGTAACAGTCTCTCAGTATAATTGTGTACCCAAATCCTATTTTGTGTCTTTAGTTAGGTGTTACTCGATAATTTATTTAACTGTTAGACGGATCAGTTGATATATGGCGCTATAATGATTAATCTTGTTTGTTGTTTAGTTTAGCAATGCTAATCGAATTTGTAAACTTTATTGCTTAGTTTTTGGCTTTAGGTCTATTCGTAGCTTAAGTTTAGTTTGTGCATGCTTGGTGATTGCATTAGCTTAGTCAGTAGTTATTCTTAGTAATCTGCTGCTGCTATAGTGCTTATATTAGTGTCTGCGATTGGTAGTTAGTGAACTCCTCTAACCTTTTGTAGATCTTGTTGCTCATTTCTTTAACTTTAGGTTGCTCTTTTTCTTAGCCATATGTAGTTTTCTTTTATTTTGTTTTTGTTGTTGTTGTTGTTTTGTAATTATTATTATGCATACGGCATATTTAGCCTAGTGACTGTGTGTTAGATTAGGTTAGTATGTTGTAATTTATGTCCATTCGCTTGTTGTTTGATTGTCTCTGTTTTTCATATAACTTAAGATCTCATGTATTGTTGTTGATTAGTTGATACGCAACTTAATCTTATTCATTAGGTTTGCTTATGTGATGGCTTGATGCTGATTTATTTATTTATTTACGTTTGTTGTAGCCCGTCAATCTTATTTTAAGTTTGTTAGAAGAAGCAGCCTGCTGCTTTCTTAATTAATTAATTATTTATTTAGTTAAGTAATTAGTTAGTTTATTTAATTTCTATTAAAGTACTAGTAATTACTTCTGCAGTAATTTTTTTTTTTTATTTCGTCTTGCCTTAATAAATAATGTGTGCTAATTAATTTATTTAAATTAAATTATTTCTATTTATTTTTAATTTATGTCGATTAATTTATTTTGTTTAATTTATTATGTTATAATTTATGATGAATTAAATTATTTTATATATTTATTTTTATTTAAACTAAAGTGAGCTGTAAATATGTTATTTTCTTGAGTCAATTGATTTTCATTGTGCTTAATTTGAGTTTGAATTCGAATAAATTCAATAATTGAAGTTATTTTAAGAATAAGTATAAATCGAGATTTTGATCAAGTTGGTTGATATCTCTTTCGTTTCATTTGTTCCATACTTAGTTTGATTTTTTAGAACTTTCGTCTATTTAGCTGCACTTGTTAACGGAGAGGATGAATTAAGTTTCCTTAAAAATGGGATTGACCAACGAATAGTCCGAGGAGGATGCCGATTATCTTTATATGCAACTTGACTTGGCAAAAAAAAAAGTATCGACGCGAAAATATGTCGAAATTAATTTATTATCCGTAGCAATGTCTATTGGGCCCCCTTCTTTCTTAATTTATTGTACCATAGAATTTATTATGGCGGTTTATTTAATATTTTGAGTTGTCGCATCATCTTTAGAAGCTACTACAAATACTTAAGTTTGAAAATATTTCAGGAGATATAATTTAGAATCTTTTTAGATGAACAATATCGCGTAAATGGCTTAAGGATCTGAACTTTAGCTAAGATTCACTTACACACCACCGTCATATTGCCGACAATATTGAGTCCTTCGTTTAGAAAATACTTGGTTTAATTTCATTAATTGAATTTATTCGAGGACGAATAAAGGTTAAGTGTGAGGAATTTGATAACTCTTTATTGTGCCATATTTTATAGCTTATATTTAATTAATTAATTATCTATTTATGTCGAATTTTGGTATTATTTATATTAATTTATTCTAATAATTGTATTTATTTCATATTGTGTGTAAAATATTAATTTATTAGTTTTTAGGTTTAATTTATAATTATTTTGGTGTATAAATTAAATTAATTGATGTATGTTTTTTGAATGATATTTTATGTTCATTAATCCGTGAGCGGCAGCTGCATTTATGAGCGCGGAAGGCCATGCATGGAAATGAGGGAAGCGACAGCTGGCGCAGAAGCGACAGCCATGCGGAAAGCGAGTGTCGGTTGCGCGGAATCCATGAGCGCCAGCTACATTAATCATGTGCAGCAATTACTGCTTGTATTTACTACACTGCTCTCCCAGCTCATGCATTTATTCTTGCACTCTCCCAGCTCACCCATTTAATTCCTGCATCATTATTTAGCCAATTTTTGGCTATTTTGTATTTTTTTTTTAATTCTAAAACCTTCTAAAAAAATATTAGTTATTAGTAGGTTAATAAGTAGTTATCAGTAGCTATTTTAGAGTAGTTAGTAGCTATTTTCAGAGTTAGTAGCTATTTTAGAGTAGTTAGTAGCTATTTTAGAGTAGTTAGTAGCTATTTTTAGAGGTAGTTATTTATGGGCAGTTGTAATCGTGAAGCTTCTAGAAGCTTTTCTTACACGGTCTGACCGTGTATAATTATAACCAATATAATTTTTTTACCCACAAAGTTTAATAGAACAAATGAATTAAGAATATGTATAAAAGAAAAGAGAAGGAGGAAGAAAAGATAGTGCAGAGAATGTGAATTAGTATGGATGATTACCAACCACGAGAATAAGTCTCGGACCTGAAATCAATCCATAAGTAAAACAAAAACAATAAGCTAAATCCCACTACAAAGGATTGGAAGCCACGAACCAATAGAATCACTCCAAAGACCCGATTTGAGACTCTAAATGTGAGGAAATCACTCCCTAATACTAGAAAATTATAAAAGTGAAATTCGATTCAAGATGTAAAAAAAGTTTTCATTACAATGATAGGCAAGGACCTTATATAGAGATCCTTGAGGAAAATAAAAGGCAACAAATAATAAAGGAAACAAACCAAAAGGTAAGTCTAACTATAAGGAAATAAATAATTAGGAAAGTTTTAGATATGGACTTATACTATATGGAAACTTATAATAAAAGGAAATATATATTAAAGTAACTTCTAGAAGCCTCCAAAGTGATGACTCTCTTGATAATCTTCCATGATTAGCGATTCTCTCCATATTTGATGATTCCCTTGATAATCTTTCATGATTGGTGATTCTCTCCATAAGTGATGATTCTCTTGATAATCTTCCATGATTAGCAATTATCTCCATAAGTGATGATTCCCTTGATAATCTTCAATGATTAGCGATTCTCTTTATCTTTCAATTAGGATTCTTGCGGGTCCCATTGAACGAGCGTCAGGTGAGGCCTAAGTGGTCTCCAAGCATCATCCTTAAATTGATTCTCCATGAAAAACCATCCGATCAATGTAGTGACGGATTTTTGAAATTGACGAGCTCAGCTTCGAGTGATGGGTCCCACGGGCATTTGAATGCTTGAAGATTGGACGTCCTCGTCATTCCTTCCTTCTTGAAAAGCTTTCTTGTTCTCCCGAACAAGATATTCATCTGCTGCATCAAAAAGGCGTAAGTCAGAAACATTAAAAGTAGCATGAACTTAGTACTTACCTGGGAGTTCAAGTTTGTAGGCATTATCATTAATGCGTTCCAATATTCGAAAAGGCCTATCTCCACGGAGAGTAAGTTTTGACTTTCGCAATTCGGAAAATCTTTCCTTCCTTAAGTGTAGCCAAACCCAATCTCCTATCTCGAATACAGCTTTCTTGCGCCTACAGTTATCTTATTTTGCGTAATTGTCAGCTGCCTTTCGTAGGTTATCCCGAACTTGAGAATGAAGTTGTTGGACAAATTCATACCTTTTTCTGCCATCAAAACTAACGTGTTCATTGTGTGGCAATGGCATAAGATCAGAAGGAGTTAATGGGTTAAAACCGTATACAACCTTAAATGAAGAACAATTCGTAGAGCTATGAATCGTACGTTTATATGCAAATTAAGCATGAGCTAAACATTCTTCCCAACTCTTCAATTCTCATTAACTAAGGCACGTAACAAGCTACCCACAATTCGATTAAAAACTTCTGTTTGACCATCAGTTTGTGTGTGGTGTGATATGGAAAACATTAATTTTGTACCAAATTTAGCCCAAAGTGTTTTCCAAAAATAACTTAAAAATCGAGAATCCCTATCAAAATTAATGGATCTTGGAACACCATGCAATCTAAGAACCTCTATGAAAAATAATGAAGCAACATGCGAAACATCAGTGGTTTTTGTACATGGAATAAAATGTGCCATTTTTTAAAATCGATCAACCACAACAAATATTAAATCTTTACCAGACCTACTCCTAGGCAAACCTAATATGAAATTCATAGTAATATCAACCCAAGGGGATTCAAGAATAGGTAGCGGAGTATACAATCCGTGTGGATGAACAGTAGACTTCGACGAGAGGCACGTTGTACACCAATGAATTGCGGCTTCAACTTCGGCTTTCATTCGTGGCCAAAAAAATGTTCCTGCAGCAAGTTAAGTGTCTTGTTCCTACCAAAGTGTCCCACCAAACCCCCTGAATGACTTTCCCAAATAAACAATTCTCTCAAAGAGCATTTAGGCACGCACAATTTATTTTCTCGCAGCAAATACCCCTCATGTACATGATACCTGCGTGACAATGCATCCGCAACGATGTTTTCCTTACCCTTTCTGTACTTAACAACATAGGGGAAGGTGTCAATGAAGGAGATCCATCGGATGTGTCTCATACTCAACTTACTTTGGGATTTGATATGGTTGAGGGATTCATGATAAGTGTACACAACAAACTCACAAGGACATAAGTAATGTTGCCATGTTTGCAGGGCCCGCACTAAGGAGTACAATTCCTTATCGTAGGTTGAGTAATTCAATGCAGCGCCATGTAGTTTTTCACTGAAAAATGCAACGGGTCTCTTTTCTTGCGAGAGGACGGCGTCAATACCTACACCAGAGGCATCAAATCAAGTTCAAACGGTTTAGAGAAATCAAGTAAAGCAAGTATGGGTGCACATGTAAGTTTTGATTTCAAAGTATCAAAAGCATTTTTTTGTTCACTTTTCCACTCAAACTTATCCTCTTTTTTGGTAATTGCAGTTAAGGGTGCTGCAATAGTGCTGAAATTCCGCAAAAATCGACGGTAGAAACTTGCAAGGCCATGAAAACTGCGGACATCACGTATGCTAGTAGGTGTAGGCCACTCTTGGATGGTTGCAATCTTCGCAGGATCTACACATACTCCATCTTTTCCTACAATAAAACCCAAAAAGTTGCACTTGTCGACGCAAAAGTCGCATTTTTTTAAGTTAGCATATAACTTCTCAGCCCGTAAAACATCTAAAACTGCTTGTAAATGTTCAACATGTTTTTTAATAGAAGTACTATAAACAAGTATGTCATCAAAGTATACTACCACAAACTTATTTATAAATTTCCTTAAAACATGATTCATCAATCGGATGAATGTGCTTGAGGCATTTGTAAGTCCAAATGGCATAACTAACCACTCATATAGACCAGAAGAAGTCTTGAAGGCAGTTTTCTATTCATCACCTTGATTCATCCGAATTTGGTGATAGCCACTTTTTAAATCAATTTTTGAAAAAATTGCAGAACCACACAAATATCAAGCATGTCATCTAATCTAGGAATGGGATGACGTGACGATACTTAACTGTTATAGCATTGACGGCTCGGCAATCTACACACATGCGCCAACCTCCTTTTTTTCGCACCAATAGGACAGATATAACACAAGGACTTAGGCTTTCATGAATCCAACCTTTGCTTAGTAGATCCTCCACTTGCCTTCGTATTTCTTTTACCTCATCCAACTTGGCTCGATAGGCTGGCCGATTAAGAATTGATGATCCCGGGACAAAATCAATTTGGTGCTCAATTCCACGAGTGGATGGTAAACCATGGGGTACTTTCTCAGGAAAAACATCATCATACGCTTGGAATAAGTTAGCAAAACTAGATGGAAGTTTATTAGAGTCATTAATGGAAAAATAAATAGGTTTAGAAAGTAGTAGAAAACAATGAACTCCATGTTCTAAGCGTAAAGCTTCCTTCCTACACATAAAAAGATTAGACCTCTCACTCTCGTGTTTAAGATTCTAGCTGGTTTCACCCTGAATCACTGCACTCGTGTTTGATTTTTTAGTAGAAGGGTATAGTATTTGAGAGTGGCTCGGGGCAGATGTATTTATCGGTAAGGATGAGGATTTGAGAGATTGCGGGGTAGTTAGGCTATATGAAATAGTAGATGCACTTGTATGCGGAGTACCTCTTACTGCGGGTGATTCTAAGGAGGACTTCAAATTGGACTCTTTTATTCCTTTGTTGATATGTTGTGGAAGCAGCGCTTTAGGTAACCCTACAATTGGAGAAAGTTTAAACGGATTACCTTGCATCCGCTTTGATTTTAGTTGTTTCTCCACCTTTTATGGCCAAGTGTACCATCTTCTCGAGGTCCACGTATTGGTACATCTCTACCGCATCAGCAATATCCCTTTGAAGCCCATTCAAAAATCTAGACATCGTTTGCTCCTGATCTTCATGGATATCGACTTGTAGAAGAAGTGTTTCAAGCTCCTTATAGTACTCCTCCACTGACCGAGACCCTTGTTGTATACTCTGCAATCTCTACAATACTTCACTATGGTAATGAGGGGGAACAAACCTCTTTCGCATGAGTGCACGAAGTTCTGTCCAAGTACGCACTGGAGCCTCCCTATTTCTGCGGCGGTCAATGCTCAATTGGTCCCACCATACAAAGGAATGATCTGAAAACTCCATTACGGCCACGCAGAGTTTTTGTTGGTCAGTTAATTGTTGAACATCAAAGATTAGTTCTAACCTTTGTTCCCATTGCAAAAATACTTCAGGGTCGGATTTTCCTTGGAACGGTGGCACTTGAAACTTGATCGAGTTGATAGCTTCATCTCAATCCCGTCGGTGATGGTTATTATGATGCCTAGGTCATTCCCAATTTCCTTCAAACTCCTCATCATCGGGTTCATCAAAGTTGTGTGGGGGCGGAGGCCGGATGTTGCATCTTGGCCTCAAATGCGGTTGAACATCATTTCGCCTCTGAGCTTCCGGTAACGGTCGGATATTCTCTTGTAACTTTTGTTGATTCTCTTCCAGTTGATCCATCCTAATATTCATCAACTCCAATCCATAATGGTAAAGAGTTTTGAACTCTTGTAGAATGGTATTGAGAAGACCTTGTACATCAACTTGTTGAGAATTGGA